GCTGTGTGGTATCGGGGCATTTTAACGAGTACGAGTACAGGAGCTCAGTATCGGGCCCGATACCGATACCAGTATCGGTATCGGTGCATCCCTAATTTTAAGTAATAGCAAATAGGCAGAAGTAACTAAAGAATGCATATTACAAGTGAAACTATAGTACTCACCAGCAAAACATACTAGCTGGAAGTGAAATGTTACACTAGTAACATAAAAATAGGTGCTAGTTCATTTTAAGGAAATACATTTTAGGATGGCTTGCCATACAAAATATAATCTTTCTTATTTCCTGTCAAAGAGCAGTTAATGGAAGTTAACCATTAAACTGTGTGAAAGGCCATGACTGATAGATATTTTAGGCTATTTATTGATACGTGATGTGGAAGAGTGTCAGAAAGACTGTGGACACGTCCGCGTTTGATCAGATTAATGCGCCAAGTATTAGTCAAACCTGACAGTGAGAATTTCCAGGGCAGTTTTTCCTGGCACAAACACATTTAACTGTCCAAGTAAGATGACATCTGGGAGAGGAAAGTCTTTGAGTGACACACCAGTAACAGAAATGTGCCCGGCAGTATTCTAACACAAATGGAAATGTCTAATAATTGTATCATAAATATGTGAATAGCTTATTGATGCATAATTCTGAAAGTCTTATTTAGCTTTTCTGAATTGTTGCTGATGTTATGCTATCTTATACAAAAATATTAAAACTATAAATTACAAGATATATGCTCTTTCACTGGCCTCAACAAAGTTTAATGCTGCTCTTATGCTGCATCATAGATACAAAGCAGCATCAGAGCTGCATTTAATACTATAGGGGCGAAGCTGCATTTTCTACTATGACATTTATGTGATATTGTGTCTTTAAACAGAATTTGGAGCTGAGTTGCTCAGTTGTGTAAAGTTTCCTTGGTTGCATCCTGCCATATGATTTTTCTGCTCTATCTACTGCTTGCTTTTATAGTTCAGCAGAATCTCATTTTTATTCTCAACTGAAAAAAAGACAGTCCCTCGTGTGATTTAGCATCTGGTCATTGACTCAGTGTACAATCGGCTACTCTCATTGCTTATCCACAAGGTCCTATGTATGCAAGAATGACATTTTTGTGAAAGACGGCTTTCATAATTAAACAGTTCTCATTTATAAGCCAAACACTGATTTAGCTGTTACACTGATATCTTAAACTAACCATAGTGGTCTCTATGCAAAGTTATTTATTTACTTTCTTTGTTCATTGCCTTGTGGTGGAATATTGATGGATCCGGTTTCATTATGATGAACTAGATGGCGGATGTGCTGTTGAATTTCCGTGGAAGATTATTAGGCTGATTTGTCTAGACTCTCAAAAAGCCTTGAACTGATACTCTGTTCTTGAATGCTATTTATTCCAGGTTTTATAGATGTTTAAATGCCAAAATTCTACTTGTGGTCCTCCATTCACAAACTCTGCAGGTCCTTAATGCATGGAATATAGCATATCACTATCATTCAATTACATCCATGAAATCACGATATAAAGTTAGTGTGCTTGTCGGTGTCGCTCTCTCTTTTGAGGCGACTGACTCTTAAACTCACATGTAAATGTGTTCAAAGTGACTGACAGCTGGTTAAAGATGCATGAAGGGTCTCATGCAGTCACTGTTCGGCTGAGCTGCATGCAGAAACAGAGCTATCGTTTTCTCTCTGCAGCTGCTCAATTCTTGTCACTTGATTCAGTCCATCCTACAGCCTGATACCATGAATCCTGTTGTACAGCTCAACACTTTATTTTTAAATCAACTTGCAGCTGATCTTCCATTGTCTGGAACTGGCTTTAGTCCATCTCTACCGCTCTGAAAGCAGAATAAGAAATAGCAGTGTGTGTTTGAGTGATCTCTGATGTGACCACGCAGCATAAGACCACTGTGCTGATCTGGAGCTATCGCTGTAGGCTACAGTGACCGCCAATTGATATGCTTTCATTTGCTTTCTTGGTGTTAGTGCTAAGAGATTTTCCACTGGGAAGATTTGGCCTCTCATGTGTCTGACCTATTCTTTCTTTCTTTATTGTTCTCATTCTCTCTAGGACATCTGAATTGGCTGAATAATAATACCGCTGATGGTTGTGTAGTTATTATCCTGTAATGGATTTCTTTCATAAACCTCTTACACTTAAACTGGATTCTAGTTTTGCACCAAACTATAACTCAATCCGCTCTGTTCTCTGAGCAGTTCAGGAGAAAAGTTATTTGATTCCTGAAACTTTCAGTGATATTTAATACCAGATTCTGTCATATCTGCTAATGCTTTGTTGACATAAAACTTCTTCAGGGGCTGCACAGACCTTTCAAAGCATATTTTAGTGATGAGATATCACTCTTATTAAAACCAATAAAGCTTTTTCGTCTGTGATTAAATCTGTCAAAGTGATTTGAGCAGCATGTTAAGTGCAAAAAGAAAGAATCATAAACCGTAAGGTCTAGAAGTGCTGATTGTGACATTTTATTGATTTTCTAAATTATATTACAATATGTAAACTAATTAATGTATTATTTGTATAATATACACTATACACTACAATTCTAATTGATTGACAATTAAAAATTTATACTTTTATTAAGCAAGGACGCATTAAAGTGATCAAAAGTGGCAGTAAAGATATAGTGTTACAAAAGATGCCTATTAAAAAAATTTATTCTGTTCTTTTGAACTTCATGTTCATCAAAGAATGCCAAAAAAGAAAAATGCATCACGGTTTACACAAAAATATTAAGCAGCACAACTGTTTTCAATATTGGTAGTAAAAAGAAATGTTTCTTGAGCAGCAAATCAGCATATTAGAATGATTTCTGAAGGATCATGTGACGCTGAAGACTGGAGTAATGATGCTGAAAATGCATCAAAGGAATAAATTACATTTTAAAATGTATTCACATAGAAAACAGTAATCTTAAATTGTACTAAATTAAACTATTTTTGATCAAATAAATGCAGCTTTGGCAAGCATAAGTACTTTTTTCAAAAATAAGCCCAAATAATAATAATAATAATATCAAAGCGTATTTTACATTTCATTCGTTTCAGCTTTGCTCTTTGACTTTGTTTCTGTTGTTGGAAAGAACAGAGGGATGCTGATCCGATAAACCTCTCTGGTGCAGTACTGCTGATTCCAGCGCTACAGCAGGTGTGAATTCAAGCACATCTGTGCATTTATGTTTGAGAGAGTTTGTTTTGTGTGTTTCTTTATACGGAGAGAAAAGGAGTGAAAAAGTTTTGAATGAACGAGAATACAGTGGCCTAGAAAGCCACTGGGAATGTGCTCTCCGAAGAGGAGATAGAGGGGAAAAGAAAACAGTGCTCATTTGGTGCGTAAGCTTGTTTAATGGAATGAGGGAGAGAGAGTGTGTTTATCTGAGAGAGGGGGAGAAGTCTGGAGTGTTTACAGAAGAGGGGTGCTGAGTGTGTTCGAGTAATGGACGGAGGGAGGTGAACAGTTGGATGCTCAGGCCACTGTCCTCCTAAATCACATCAGACTCACAAACATAAGCACAATGGCTCTTCCTTTTTAAGTAACAACCATTCTCTTACAGGGCAGTAATGACCATAACACAACAATAGTAAGAATCGTGTCAATATGGAGACAAATTTGATCTAAATGATGCACTAAATAACTTTCCATTAAAAAGGTTTTAGATCGAAAGAAGTGAAATCAGTCATGATGACAACTCTTGGAGTGATAAATTCAACCGGCATTTATTGGCATGGGCATGAAATATACATAAGCTTGATTTTAGCGGATGAGATCTGCTGTGCTGCTGCTGAACAAATACAATAATTAGTTCAGCTTAGTCAAAAATAACCAAGGATGGCTGCTGCAAGAATGTTGAACCCCTTAGCAGATCTCTACAGGTGGTGCTGGGGAGGAGGAGGGGTAACAAACTTTCATAATTGTGCAACATGCCGATCCTGATTGGCTGGTGCTACGGCGTTGAACGAACCAATTAGCAATTAGTTAGTTTCATGGCTGAACTATGTATTTTTGATAGATATCTTTAAAATCATGTATGCTCACATTAGATATCAGTGGCCTTCAACAAGCGGATTTATTCTGCGTAAGGTGTTTCACCTTTTCATAGTGGCTGTCATGTTTAATAATACTTCGCTTCTCTAATAATACTTAATCTAGATAACTCCTATTACTGGGTTTTAATGGCATAAATGAATCATGGGTGACAGATGCACCTGCTTATAACCAGGCCCAGATGAAATCCGAATTTCCTCATGTGATAATTAATTAATTAATTTTATTTTTTTTGTCAAGCACAAATTGTTTATGCATTACCATTCAAATGCTTGGGGTCGGAAATATTTAAATTCTCATTTTCTTTCTTTTTTTTTTAAACAATTTTCAGTATTCTTTGATGAATAAAAAGTCCTAAAGAATAGTACTTATTTAAAATGTAAATCTTTTGGAACATTGTGAATGTCTTTTTTGATCAATGCATCCTTACTGAACAAGTTCAATACTTGAAGTATTATTTCTTCAAAAAACAAAACAAAACACACAAACCTTTGAAATTGAACTAAACTAATTTCCACTGACTGGCACATATCCTTATGTATGCTCCCAGTTTCTCCAGAGCAGTATTCTCGTGATTTCCAAACATGAACATAAAAACTCTAAAGCATTTCCAGACTAATCTGACCTGCTTTTGATGCAAGGTGAGAGAAGTCAGAGATGAGCTCTGGCTGAGTTTGTGATAGTCCTGGCTCTTTTGGATTAGGACCCACACTATTCAGTTGTCATACATTAATCACCAGCTTATTATTTAACGCAGTCACCTCAGACACGGCTCAGGATGAAAGGCCTGAAAGGTCAGTGTCACTGGATGCGCAGTTGCATCCTTTGATCTTCACTTTGACGTACCACTGAGTGTCCATGTGCTTTGTGCATGTGTCTTTTTTAGATTTGAATAGAAGACTTAATTTCTATTAGAGTAACCTTTTAGTGCCACAGGGTGCACTGGTTTCCTTTTAACATGCCCACGTTCCTTTGTTCTGTGCAAACATGAGAATCTTGATAGTTGGTTGTCCTTGGGCGATCTGGACAGAGAACCACAGTTAAATTGTGTTATTTGAGAAATCTGATTAAGCATCAGAACACGCGCTTCACCTGATCACATGTCAGCTTAACTATGACATCAACACTGACTAGTCATTTCTGCACCTGTCCTAACCGTCTTGTTTTTTCTTGTTTTGCAGAGTGAAGCGCTTGAGGGAAAGAGAGCTGTTTTGTTTTTTGGTGAAGAAGAGTAAAACAGCAGCATTTGTGCATACCAGAGGAAACAGTCTTAAGAGACGGCGTGATTGACTTCCTGCTCCCTTGAGAGGAGGGGTGAGCGGCGGTCTCGTGGTACTCACCCCTCCTGGTCAGACTGCTGATGCTGAAGATGTTGACCCATAGTGCACGGCTGCCATTCCTGCTGTTGCTGTGTGTTGTGTCCACTCTGTGGGGTTACCCCTTCAGACCCCCGCTAGACCTGGATGTGACCCCCAGAACTACGGTCCTCTCCAACGGTATGATACACATGTTTTTTTTTTCATTCATTCATTAATTCATTCATATAATACTGAAGAGAGAGATCCACCAATCAGACAAGTCACTGTTACTATGGAAACAAATTATGGCAAAAAGAGCTCTGTGACCATCCACACCCACAAAGCATTGCTAATATCTCAATCGAGTCTCTCTATCCTCTCAAACTACTATTATACTATACTATACTATATACTATACTTATAACTACTATACTATATATAGTATCAGTAGGATTTTTTAAAAGATATTCATATTTTTCAGCAAGGATGCTTAAAATTGATCAAAAGCGGCAGTTGCAAAAGATTTCTATTTACAAATTTTTTTTTGAACTTTCTGTTTATCAAAGAAGCCTGGCAAAAATGCATCACAAAAATATATGAAGCAGCAATTGTTTTAATAATAATAATAAATAAATGTTTCTTAAACAGCAAATCCACATATTGTAATGATTTCTGAAGGATCATGTGACACTGAAGTCTGGTGTAATGATGCTGAAAATTCAGTTTTGCATCACAGAAATAAATTATAACATATTAAAATAGAAAACAGTTCTTTTAAATTGTAATAATATCTCATAATATTGCTGTTTTTACTGCATTTCTGATAAAATAAATGCAGATTTGGTGAGCAAAATCTTACCAAAATTTTGCACAGAATATGATATATATATATGTACTGTCGTTTTTCGATTATGTCAATCGGTTATCTTGATTTTCATACATTTTTGTTTTAAATCAAAGTTTGAAATAGAGCTAGAAGGGTCACACTTTATTTTTAGGTCCAATTCTCACCATTAACAAACCAAACAAACTATGACTTTTGCCTCAATAAACAACTAATTTGCTGCTTATTAATAGTTAGTAAGGTAGTTGTTAAGTTTAGGTATTGGGTAGGATTAGGGATGTAGAATATGGTCATGCAGAATATGTGCTTTATAAGTACTAATAAACAGCCAATATGTCAATAATAGGCAGGCTAATAAGCAACTAGTTAATAGTTAGAATTGGTCCCTATACTAAAGTGTTACCGAGCTAGAGCTGGTTTGATTCAAGTGTTAGAATGTCTTCGTGGGGAATTGTTTGAAATCCCTATGGAGCAAATCATTGGGAAAAATGCTTCCAGAACTAAGACCGCTGAAAAAGTGGGCAGTGACTGTTGCACTCTATATTATGGAATGTAAATATGATAATCATTCAGTGCCAAGGTATATCAAAGTATATCAGTTTATTTTCCATTAGCATCACAGTAGCATGGTACTACCACAGTACATTTCTGTAAACATCTCAAGGGTTAATTTTGAAGTAAATAAAAAGGGCTGCTCAGGCAGATGCAGAGAAGCTGCTGTGTGGTTACGTGAGGGGGAGTGGGTTCACAGACTGTTTATGACTCTGTACTTAATCATTCAGATGTAAGCAGGGCTCTATCACACTCGTTTAGATGACTCGCTGCTTGCCAGCTTGAATTTTGTATATCTCTTCGCTGTTGAACAATAAAACGTCTTTCTCTCACATCTGTGAAGCAGAAATGCAGGAGAGAAGGTACAATAAGCCAACCCAAGGTTGTCTTTATCTCTAGTGCTTAGTTACACAACCGCAGAGAGGTCAGAGGGCTGAGAGACTTGAGGCCTGTGTTGAGTTTAAAAACACTGAGAGTGCAGCAGGTTCACTCTCCAAGACTCGTCCTACCTTTCCCTGCCAGGTCAGTGACCTGAGAAAAAACGCTGCAGCAGATTTTCAATGCAGAAGACGCTCCAAACATTTTTAGAGGATTTAATTTAAAAATAACGTGTCAGATATTTGCATTAAATAGCTAATTATGTTAAATACGTGGAAAGTAGTGCTGTCAAACGATTAATTGTGATTAATCGCATTCAAAATAAAAGTTTTCATTTACATAATATATCTGTGTGTACTGTGTATTTATTATGTATATATAAATACACATACATACAGTATATATTTTGAAAATATATACATGTATATATTTATATTCATATAATTTATATTATACATAAATATATTTACTACATAAACGTAACATATTTTTCTTAAATATATACATGCATGGGTGTGTATTTATATATACATAATAAATATACACAGTACACACACATATACTGTGTAAACAAAAACTTTTATTTTGGATGCGATTAATCGTTTGACAGCACTAGTGCAAAGATACATATTTACTATTTGTTAGTTTTTCAATAGATCTTGATATTTAGATGATACTCTTTGCCAGTACAGTAATGCTGTGCTTGTTCTGCAGGGTTTTTTATATTCAAAGTTGAGGTAGGCCTATTTGTCGTGAACCGGTTTATTGTTAAAATGTACCACATTATTCATAACTAGGGTTGGGTATCGAAAACCTGTAACATTTTAGAACCGGTTCCAAATGTACAAAAACTGAGTGTTCGATAAGACGCGTGCATTTCGATTCGGCTTAACGATTCCTGCATTCGCATTTTAATGGGGTTTAAAACGATTTAAGTGCAGGAACGGAAAGAACTTGCGTCTTGTTTGCGTGCAGCGCACACGTCTGAAGCGCAAGCGTGAGCACAGAGAACAGCGGACTCGGTGCGGATTCCCAGCCTGTGTCCGTTCTCGAACCGTTCCGTTCCACTGCAGAAAAGGTTGTTCCGAGCTGGAACTGACTTCTTTAATATTTATCGACTAGAATGCAGAAAACTACGTCAGTTTATCATCATAAACACAGCCGTTTTTGTCTGAAGTGAACGTAAACAGATGAGAAAGAAAACGCACGTGTATAGTATTTTTAGATTTAAGTGAGTTCGGTGTTAAAAAGACGGCAGCCTAATAAACGCGCTGCCTGTCATTAATGTTAAAGGGGTCATATGATGCGATTTCAATTCTTCCTTTCTCTTTGAAGTGTTACAAGCTCTTGGTGCATAAAGAAGATCTGTAAAGTTGCAAAGACTAAAGAATTCGTCGAATCCACCGGCCTACGCTCACTCTAGCCCCCAGCCTCTGCTCACTCTAGCCCGCCATGTATGACGCTGTGTGTTTCGTTGTGAAAGCGAAACTACTTTGTTTGGCCTTCCAAAAGAGGACACTAAAAAGACAGTATAAGTCATTATAATACTAAATTATGTCCCCACTGGATGCAACAAATGCCTCGTTTATAATGGGTTTTAATGTTTTTGTCTCGTCGCTCC